GGTGATGTGTCACAAAGCCTTGAGTACCAGCCAGATGACATTGGATCTCACCGTGGTGCTGTCGGCATCGCTGGTCGAAGTCAAGCAAGTGTTGAGCTCAACCCCACCGTGGACTTGCGGCAATCACTCTCCGGCGCAGCCGTGTCACAAAGCCTTCAGAACCAGTCAGATGACGTTGGATCTGATCCAGATCTGGTGAGACATGCCGTGAATCTTCCGGGAGAGAACACGCGCGAAAGCCAAGGGCTGCGGGCTGCCCTGCAGCCAACGAAATTTGTAAACTCTACACAGAACCGCGCAGGTCTTGCTGGCATTGCTGTTGGCAGTCTTGCCAGAGTTCCAAACCTTATGCCGGCTAATCGAGCGGTTGGCCCCAGCATGCCGATTCCAGCAGCTGTGCCGAAACCTGCAGACGACCAGACCGGCCAGGACTCAAGACTCGAGCAACACGGCTCTCCGGCCGTGGCGAGCGCAGAACCCGAACAGGACAAAGAGTATCGGCCAGATGACATTGGCCCGGATCGAGGGGGCAATGTGGTGAATCTCTCACAGAGAGGCACGACAGACAGCCGTTCTTTGCAATCCCCGCTGCAGCCAACAGCGATGGTGAACTCTCCACAGAGCCGTTCTAGCGTTGCTGCCCGCAGTTTTGCCAGTGTTCAGCCGAATGCCCATGCTGACTTGCGGCCATCCGCCTCACCTACTGCAATCTACACTGTGGATGTGGGCGTTTTGGTCGATGATGTCGCATGGAACTCTGCTGCAGTAGCGGCCAATCCTTGCCTCACTGGCCCCAGCATTCCGATTCCAGCGGCTCTGCCCATACCTGCAGACGACCCCACTGGCCAGGACGCCAGGCTCGAGCAACGCAGCTTTCCGGCAGTGGCACGCACGGAACCCGACCGAGGCGAGGAAAATCAGCCAGATGACATTGAACCCGATCGACAGGCCGATGATGTGGCGGCGCCAGCGAAGCCAAGAGTCGTGAGGGCAGCGGAGCCTGCTCTTGGTGGGCAACATGTAGGACGTACTGACGGCATCAAACGTCCTGATGGCCCTCGAAATAGCCCAGCTCTGCCACTGCAGAGTGCTGCCGCCTCTCATCTCCGCGGAGCAGGAACCGTGGGCGGAACGGGCGGTTCGCCCGAGAGGCTTGGTCTGCGATCCAGTCTCCAGCGAAGCAGGTTAGTGACCTCACCACAGAACCGTGCTGGTGTTGCTGGCGCTGCTCGAAGTCCTGTGGGTAGTCAGCCGAACGCCCCTGCAGACTTGCGGCAGCCGGCCTCTACGGCAGCCGCAGTCGTCAGTGCTGTGAGTACCGGTGGCCATCAAGAACGCAGACGTCGCATACGCTCTCCTGGATCACCAGGGAACCCAGTCAGCCGCATTCCCAGTAATGGAGGCAATGCCATCGAGCGCCCGGGGACGACTTCGAGTTCTCCTGCATCTACCCCTGCCGCAGACGGTGGTTGCTTGGCATCTTCAACAGTAGCCAGAAGCATGTTAGAGTTTTGTTGCTCAGAGCATTCATCCGACAAGCCACGCATCAAGTGCTGCATGCGCGTCGGTAAATGACCATGACGACAGGCTACCTGGTTGACGGCACCGAGGCCAGCTCATGAGCCTGTGAGGCACCAGCATGCCAAGCCAAGAACTGCGAGTGTTTTTGAGGCTCGGAGCTCGCGGAGCTCGCCGGTTGCTTTCAGCTTCTTGGACGATGTTGTGACAGTGATCTTACAGGGCTCAGCCCCGAGCTTGGCAGCAACCGCTTAGGTGCACCATCCCGGCAAGGTGCAAGGCGGGAGGGACCGGGGCTCCAGGGCTTGCTGCGAGACTTTCTGAGCCCCGTCGCTTGTGTGCCCCTTCGAGGAACAGCTCGGGTCAGAGTGGCAGCTTGCACAAGGGCTCAGGTACAAACACTGAGACCAGCACCTCAGTTAAAGCCTGGATGCTAGTGCGACTTGCGGAAAGGAAGTTTCTTGGTTCCTGTGTCGCCGCGTCCCAGGCAATGCCACGCGGGGCGATGGCGCACCTGTCAGTGCAGGCAGGGCCTCGTCATCCACATTTTAGCCTGCAGATGCTCGTGCAAGTCACGTTCGGCTGACAGCGACCCCACCCGAAGGTCACAATGTGAGCTTGCCGGAGAACACCCGGCCGAACCTTGCGTTGCGGAAGAAAGCGGCTGGTGGGCCAGCGCGAGCCTTACAGTAGACGGAACGAGAGAGAAGGCCTTGCTCCCGCTTTGCTGCTCCTTGGCTGCGACGCAGGCTCCAAGACGTGCAGTCGCCGAACGGCCAGAGAAGCTCGGTCTGAGTTGTGTGCCTCGTGTGCCCGAAGCACGTGCCCTTCACGTGTGGAGGGGCCTGGGCCTGAACCCGGCGAGCCCGAGGCCTTCGTCTCCCATCCGCCCGGAGCTAGCCAGCGAGGTTCAGGACCGAGATCTCATGTCTTGGATGCTCCGGAGCCTTACCGCTAGCCTTGGCGCACGACCTGATTCCCGCGCATCCGAGATATTCTGGAGCAGGGCTGGATGAATCGCCTTTCATTGACAGGCAATGAAACCAACAGTTGGATGCTGTAGCACTGCCGGTACCTGACCAAGCTCACAAAGCAGTACGCACGAAATGCTAGGACGCAAGCCACGACGAGGAGGCTTCTGCTCCTGGGAACTCTGCTGCTGAAGACCGAGCCGAACAGCGGCCTTCGCAACAGCGGCCTTCGCAAGTGGCGCGGTGCCCGGTGTTGGAGCTGAGCTCCCCGTCTCATGTTTCCCTGAGCCCTGAGCACTCTCTGAGGCGCCTGGCGATGGCGGAGCGGGTCGTTCGGAGCGACTTGTCGGCAGCGAAGGCTTCTCGCACGAACCCAAGCCATGGCTCCTATGCGAGCTGCGAGCATGTCGCATGTCGTTGCCGCAGTAAAGTCTCCTCTCACCTGTCCTTCTTGACTCTTTGAGCCCTGAGGGGTTACGGGCAATCAAAGCTGCCCCGTACACTGTCTGTGTGCTCAGGCCACGGTCGGTTACAGCCTTCTTCGAGCAGCTCGGCTCTATCCGAAAAGATGGGACGTTTGGAGCCGTGTTTCTCAAATTTGACGACTGTGTCGCATTTTTAACGGAGATAGCAACTGGATGTAACACCGTGGTCGTGCGAGTGCACGCATGTGTGGTTGGGTGTGTTTGTGTGTGTGTGCGCGCGCTTGGTTGCGCTTGGTGCCGCTTGCTCCTGCAGGGTGGAGTGCTCCGAGACCGCGCCGGAAGAGGCTCCCCGGCCAAACTGTTCTAAGTGCAATCCTGTGGCCGCCAAAGCTCCCAGGCCCGTCTCATTAGCACAGATAGGAAGAGGCCCAAAAGGCTTTGGTAAGGCACACAGCTGCATTTACAACGTTGAATTGTCTGGACATATCTACACAAGTGCGGTGGCATCTTTGTGGGCGATTCGCTAGAACCCCTTCAGGCTGTGTTCCTGGTGCTCGCACATTCTAGCGGCGGCACATGGAACATCAACAGTGGGATAATGCTCGAGACAAGCACTGACCTCAGCGCACTTTGAAGAGCTCTTGCGGCAGCCTCTAAGCGCAAAGTTGTTTGCTCAGTCTTAGTCGTCTTCGTCCTTCTTGTTGGGTTGTGTCAGTAACCCTCATCTATGAATCGGAAGGCCAGGTGACATACTGCAAAAGCACAGGATCCGCGCAATGCTGGATCTCAGCTGCAGAGACAAAAGCCTGGAACTATTTGTCAGGCCCAGAGCGATTTCCGTGCTGGTCAACGGCGGTGCCGATTTCAGTCGATGCTTTCTCGAAGATCGAATTCCAGTTTGCGATCTCGGAATCTCGCCTGCAGTAATGCATGCTCGGGCGTGTATGTGGTTAAAATTCTCTCGAGGGACACTCGCTCGAGGACCGTTCGCTATCGCAGCCCCCTCGATTTGAATGCCTGAACTGCCGGCGACTGCCTCAAACAGAGGGCCAGGAGCCCTCTAAGCAGTGCGTGGTGTGCACTGTTTGAATACTTGCCGAAGCGACAGATGGAGCAGGACGGGCAAGCCCACGAGATTGTCTATCGCGGTGCATGGGAGGCAGGTTGAGAGGGCTCACATGTGAGGAATTAGCTGCTTGCTAAACGCGCAACGTGACATCACTTCTGCAAGGATTCTCGAAGCACAGTGACGGTTCGGCCGTTGACCTTGTCACCAGCGTCATCGCCGGTGGGTCCTGAACCGCAGGCCGCACAATAGTATGGAGGCATGTAATGCAATTTGGGGGATTGCGCAGCATTTCGGTTCTTGTGTGCCCGAGGAGGGAGGCATGGCTCTTCCGGCAGAGCCGACAGCACGCACTGCGATTATGGAGGGCAAAGGTAGCCCAGGACACCAAAGTCCGGGGCAGTGCCCTGTCGCCGCAGACAGCACTCGAAGGCGCAGCAGTCCGGCCGGGGTTGCCGCACTGGTCAACTAGTCGCATGAAGGTCGCTTGCCCACCTTGGTCTTTCAAAGAGAGCAGCCTTAAAGCAGTGAAGGTCCAGATCATTGCCGGAGACCGCAGCTCTCGGGCCAGAGATCTCCCAGATTCCAGTGGCAGCTGGGCGGAGCTTATGGGAGCAGGTCTCGGAGTCTAGGATCACCAGGAGGTCAGACATCTCGTTTCGCAACACTGCAGAAGTGCCAGCTTCCGAGGTCATCGTCTCCTCGGAAATCCTTCCCTGGTCGAACTCGGGGGGGCTCGGGCGCGTCACGGCCTCCTTGGCAAGGCCCGTTTCACAAGCATTGAAGGTGACGGGAGCCTGAAGCTGAAAGCCTGCAAAGCCGTGCAGCCCTGGCGGCCCCGGTGTGAGGCAGTTTGCGCTGCGCGGCCACAGGACCTTGCCGCTCGGCCGCAGCTCCTCAGAGAAGTGATTTGGGAAGGAGCAAGGAGCGGCCTGCAGCTGTTCTTTTGCTTCCACCCGCCAGGGCCATTTCTCCGATGTACACGAAGCCACCGCCGGAGGATGAATTCACCTACTTGGGATCGGTTCCTCGGGCTGTCCTTAGCTGTAGCCTTCGCTTACTGTGTGCCCTTCAGCCTTCCTTGAGGCTTGGGTAAGGCTTGACCAGATGGACCATGAAGTGCGCTGCATGCAGCTTGCCTGATCTTATCTTCCTTTTCACTCCTTCTCCGCATGAGAACCTCGAGGCACAAGTTCATCAGCCTCGGCGAGGGTAAAGGATGTGCAGCTTGCCTGGATCCAGTGCACGGGGCAGTGGCACCGCGGCTGGTCTCTCTCGCTCTCGATGCATCTGAAGGATTATGTATTGCTGGACCATGGCTGCTATCAGCATCGGCCAAACGGCCTCTACTGCGACTCGAAGCCACTGGCCTGCATTCGATCTTCCAGACAGTACTGGCACTGGAGATTCCAGTGCACATCAGATCACTTCGGCAAAACATCGTACAACCAACCGTCCCAAAAGACTGGGACACAAATCCTCTTCTGTGAGAGGTAGGTGCCCCAATGCAGGAGGCAGCAGGCAAGCTCTAGCCGAGCTTTTGACTGCAGCCCTCAACAAAGCTGTACCAGAGGAAACGAAAGGAAACAGCTCCTCTTGCAGGTGCTGTGGGCACTCGTATAGCATTCACTGTCCGACTGTCCCTCTGAAACACCCGGTGACATGGCGCAGACCTGAGCCGCCAACTCCTTATCACTTCAGGACTGGCCAGGACTACGGCGACAATCTGTACCGCTTTGCCATGCTGTCGTTGTGCGCTCTCGAGGTGAGCGGCATGTGCTGTATGGTAGGAGAGACATGCAGGGCTAGGAGAGAGCGAGGCTGTATAGAAGAGAAAAGACCGGGGTGCCACAGCAAAGAGTAGAGTCTGAGTAGAGCAGAGAATGAAGGGGCGAGGCGGTAAACAAGCACGGATTCCCCTCACTTGTTCAAGGAAGGGGCCTCGAGCTTACAACTGCCGTCGTATGTCCTTGAACTCCGCCAGGTGCCCCTGAGACTGACGTTCAACAGGGTAGCCTACGGCCAAAAGGTGACTTGGAGGCACGAAGCAACTGACATTTCTCATCATTGAGGAAGGCTCGCGAAGCAGAATCGTAATTCCGTGTCCTGGACTCGCCAAGGTCGCTTTCATCTCCAACGACTGGCAGGCAGGTCGCTCATTTTAAGGGCCATCATCTTCGTTGTGCCGGCCTCCGATATGATAGGCGGCCTTGGTTTCCGTCTTCTTGGCCCACCGCTATCGCCGCAACGGTCTCTACCGGGATGCCAGGCAGCGGGTACCCGCATAGTGCTGGTATAGCTTGAGTACAGAAACTTAGAGAAAGATCCCTTCATCGCAGCATGTCTGTGCAACTGTGCAACTCTGACCGGACATTCCGTAAGGTGAGGCTCTGTCGTGCCATCTTGCCTGACGTCATACTGCCTGTGTGCGGCATCGTTACACACATTGTGCTGACCCATTGTCCACTGTTGAACCTTTTTCTGCACAGGGCTTGCAGTAACTCGGCAGGAAACGCCACAGGGCAAGATAGCCAGGCATATGTGCCTGCACATGCACCACAGGTAACTATGTTCTGGGATCTGTCTGCGCATGCTCAGACAATCTGCACATGAGGTGTTGTTTTGCGTCTCTCCACGTCCTCTTGGCAGTCACACCAGAATCTGCAGAGGCACATGCGCGCACAAAGGGGGAAATACATATACACACACACATATATATATATCTCTCTCTCTCTCTCTCTCTCACCCACTCACTCACTCACTCACTCACTCACAGACACATGCATAGGCATAAGAAAAATACCTACCCAAACCAAAGGTATAGGTAGGTAGGTAGACAAATAAGACAAGCTAAGTGGATCTGTAACCGCGCAGCAACATGCACATATGCACGTACGCACAAAAAACACATGCACACGCGGACGCACGCACACACCCGAACACGCACGCACGCTCGCACGCACGCAGGCTCGCAGGCTCGCACGCTCGCACGCTCGCACGCTCGCACGCACGCACGCAGGCTCGCACGCTCGTAGGCTCGCACGCTTGCACGCTCGCAGGCCCGCACGCTCGCAGGCTCGCACTTTTGCACGCTCGCACACACGCACGCACGCGCGCACGCACGCGAACAACACCACTCCCATAGTAGTGGGGATATGTATACAAATGTGTGTGTCCCACCTATGGATGAGTAAACTAGCGAATAGATCACAAGTATATAGACATGCACGTGTGATGTGCGAGTGTGCATGTGTGTGTGTGTGTGCGCATGTGGGTGGGTGCGGCATATGGCCACACTCTACATACACAAGCGTGCATACGTGCTACATAGAGTGCCGCGTAGTGAAGCAGGGTCTTGTGCTTTCATGGAACTAAAGACAGATGACCCAACCCTGAACTTGTTCTTTCTGCTGCATGCCTGCTTGCACTTCGGCTTCGGCTTCTCAAGTCGCAGGAACATCCACATCATCCACAACTTGGGCCGCTTGTCTGTATCAAGACTTGTCACTTGAGAAACCTCGAGGCGTCTAGCTGCCACGACAATGCCTGCGCGATGCCACGTAGTTGGCTTCTTGCAAACCTGCCGAGCTGTGCTTCAGTTCAAGGCTTCCAGGGGAAGTTTTCGTCACGGCGCTCCAGTGTGAGCACGCTGCTTGGGCTCGGCAAAGCAGCTGCGCTTGACCTGACGAGAACTCAGATTCTGCGACTGTTTCCTGTTTTTCAGACCTCCAAACCTTATCTGAAGCGACCGAAGAGAAGCTGAGGGCCAAGGACGGAGATCTGAACCTCTGCAAGGGGGCGATCCTTTGTGGCGACCGGGTGGTCACCGAGCCTAGGCTGCAGAAGGCTCTTACAGAGTTTCACAGTAGATCAGAAACGCACAGGCGTATCATAACAAACGCTTTAATTTTCAGGTACGAGGCCTGCTGTAAAAAGGAGAACGACACAAGATAGCCAGATGAACATAGGAATGTGGACCGTGCATCGGCATGAAGGTCGGGGTGATTCTGCTGGATACAACTGCATCGCTGCATGCAGGTGTCTCGCAATTATGCCATCGAGATTCAGACGACTCAAGGCTCGATGGAGCTTCTGTAGCTAGGTGACAATCGAATCTTTATCCACCAATAAAACACTGAAGCTACAAACCCGAAACCACAGATTGCCGCGATCTTGGCTTGGGCATCTCAGTATACACACGGAGAAACCGAACTGACCAGAGAGTCCGCCTGCAGCAATCTGCAGGTGGATTCGGGCTGGACAGCCTCCTCGCCCAGAAGGCGATTTCCGCTGCGTGGGAAGGGCTTCTTCACATCCTGTTCCGTGGTTTGGGGCCGTGTGCCTCACCTTGAGAAGACGTATGAGAAAGCGAAAATAGGCATGCGGACTTATGTGAATGCGTTCTACTCGCCTTGTGTCACTATGTCACCGGGGGAATCTACACCTGCACGACTATGTTGTAGATTCCAGCTCTTCGGGATAGCCGACCGACCTTGCATAAATGTATAGTATGTTATGTTTTCAGAAAGTGAATTTATTGTCGATTCTTTAAGGTCTTATTTGTGTTCTGTGCCGGTATTTCCCCGCTGCCGTGCCTACCGCTTTTATGCCAGTTCGTTGTATCAGTCTAGCTTTAATTCAACGAGATCGAGATGTAGCTCCAGTTCAAGTTCTACTCTGTCATATTGTTGTTCAGAGATACTGTTGGGCTCCTGTGGTCGTACAGATTCGTTGTGCCGTTACATTGTGTTGTCTCATGGTGCCTGTTGAGCCAGGCAGAACTATAGCATTGTGGCTTTTTCATATTCTGAGCGCTGCTGGACTCTTGCGTGTTTTGTGCATATACTTGTCGACGTCTTAGCAGCAAAGACGCGTATCTCCTGCTTCAAGTTGCCAGGCCAGGATGCTACGCCTCGTGGGTATTCAGAATGCCTTGGATGATGAGTGGGATCCCCGCACCGTGCCGTGGCTCGAGCCAGCCAGACGGGAGTTTTTCCTTTCGTTCTGTAGTTACGCGTGGAGTCGATCTGTGCTTGTCCGTGTGTGCTTGTCTCTTCGACAAGGACACGCATCTGGCTCGGTGCTACCAGGCGCAGTGCGAAGGGGAAGAACCGACCCTTCGGCTTGCATCGGCTTGCAGCCTCTGCTCCACGCTCCTTCGACTTTTGTTGTCTCTCAGCAGGCGGACAGCATGGTGCCCGCGAGACGGGAGTGTAAGGCCTGGGATTTTTGAGAGAACTCGAAGGGCGCGGCGTGAGAGGGCTGCAGGCGTGGAGTTGTCCAGGTTTTTCTGCAGAAGAAGCTCGGCCTGATCCCGGCACCGCGTGCAGTGCGCCTTTCAGACTTGCACCAGGCTGGTGAGCTGCAGCTGCACCTTGCTAACAGGTCCTGTTCGGCTTCGTGGGCCGACTCACCTGGCAGAAGGGTGCTGGCCCCAGTCGCCCGAGCTCTGGCCCTGGCTTCTTGGTATCTATCTGTTCCAGGTGTTGACGTGCTAGCCCGTGTGGTGCCCTGGCTTCTTGGCGGCCACGGTCATGGATCTGGTCGAGCTCAAGTTATCCTGATGGGCGAGGGGGAGTCACTTGGCAGAAGCCAAGAGGAGCATAGACGGAGTAGGCTCGATGGAGTCTTGTTCTTGTGCAAGCGACAAGTTTGCCTCTTGAAGTTGAGAAGTTGCTCGCAAGGCACAACTATCAGACTTTGCTGAAAGAGCTGGAGCTCCGCAATCGCGGCTTTGTCTGTGGCCACACAAGCCGCTTGCTCGAGAATGCATACCCGCTGGTACATTAACTTCAAGACGAGCCACACGGTCTGGCAGGCTTCAGCCCTATCTTGGAACACCAGATGATGGCAGGCCGACTCAGGGAATATGTGTGCCAAGTTAGGATGAATTGAAGTGGAGCTGCAGAAGGCTGCGACTTCATCCTCATGCCGTCGCGATATGAGCCGTGCGGCTTGCCTCAGCTGCAGCCTTAATGCTCATCAGCAGCGCAAGCGATGTCGGTTCGAGTTATGGCATCATTCCACATTCGAGCGAGACTAGGTCGTGTTTTCGTTTTTGAGCCGGATCCTGTGTTTTCTCCTTCTGTAGGCTGGCGGCGTCCGTATACGGCGCAGTGCCCATCGTCACGGCCACTGGAGGTCTCAAGGATTCCATCCGAGGCTTGTGTGGCGGAAGTCTCGCTCAGTGCAGGGTCTTAAGTTTTGGGTATGCTGAGTGCCGTGAACTCGTGAACTCGTCAGCTCCGCTGCTAGGTCCGCAAGAGGGAGACTCTGCGACGGGCTTCCTGATCCAGCCGCCGGTGAGCGAGACGAGTGTCCGGCAGGAGTCGCGGACTGCTTCAGCATAAACGTAGCGGGTTTGCAGTCTGTGCTGTGGGCAGAAGCTTGGTATGCGGTGGGAATCTCCAGCACCCTGCATGCACGGCTGGTGCCGTGCTTCCAAGCCCGTAGAAGCCTAGCCACCAGGCGCTCCGGGAAGCAATGATGGTTTTCTTCCAGCAGCCGAGCCGTTTCCAGTACCTGGGAGTTCAGGAATGTCCCTGTTTGAGATTTCCGGAGTTAGAGGACTGGCCTGGGATGTTGCTTGCACTCTGTGTTTGCAGCGGGCAGCGTGGCAATGCTTGCTATAATATCCTTGTCTGGGAAGACACCCCGGCCAAGGCAGATGCAGCGTAATGTGTCTTGACTCTGATAGTAAGCTCAGTAAGGGCCATGTGCTGCACCGATTAGCTGCCCGCAGACTTCAGGTGTATCTGCCCCTCTGAGGCCATGTCGCAGGCTTTTCGCTGGAGCCCGGCGATCGACGAGTACCAGCAACAAATTTGCTTGGCCATGTCAGCTCCAGCGCAGAAGCCGCTCTGAGACTGGAGGGCTCTCTGGCCTTAGATCGTTGCCTTAGTCTTTCTGTGGGCATGGCGGCATAGCGCCTCGAGCACCAAGGACTTCGAGTGCCCAGGCCCAGGCTTAGACAGCGGCGCACAGCTTTCGAAGCTGTCGAAGCTTATTTAAGAGTGTAAGCAATCATTGAAATTTCTGCCAAGCTGGCAAACGAAAGATGGCTTTCCGTCCGTAACACTCCAACTTTGAGCCTGTCGATACGCGGACCTGGGACTTACCTGCCTGTAGGAATCCACACTAGATCCTTACGTAAGGGCCAGGATCTCTAGCTGTGGCGTCCCTGACCGGGTTCTGTAGGGCCCGCGAGACACGTGGACACTGCAAGTCTGCAAAGTACCAGACTTCCGTTTCAATTTGTGGTGTCGAGCGTGGATGATCTGGACAACCGCTTCTTCAAGTTACTTCGACTTGTTTTTGGTTGCTTGAGAAAGGCTTGACCGATGCCGTCAGAGTACCACGCTTGCCAAGATTTTCCAAGGCCCAGACTGTTCCAACAGACGTGGAAATGTTACAGGGCCGTGTTCATCATCTTCATCCAGTGCTGCTATGTCTTTTGAATAGGAAAGCTTAGAAATCCGCAATGATTCGGTCGATAGATAACCGTGATCTCTCATAGAACGCAATTGTTGTATCTGGTGTCCGAACTCGCAAAACGTTCCAGCCTTGTGCCCAGTGGCAGCGCTGCCAGGGCGATGCGGGCGCGAGACAGGATGTGTCCGGTTCCAGTTCGACGGACCCAAAAACTTTACGTACCCGGCGCCCCATCACCAAGACTGCTTCATGGCAGACGGCTGGGGCAGCCTTCCGCGCCCGCATGCGGGATCATGCTTGGCCCAGTGAGCCGTGCGGAGCTCAGTGCAAGATCTTGCCTGAAGCCCAGGCTCTGCCATGTGTGTTTCACTCCCGATGCCAGCTTCCTACGTGGGGCTGAAAGTTCATCTGCAGCCATGCCAAAGTGGCATGCTCGCTCCACGCTCCAGGGTCGTCACGGCCCAGCGGCATCTGAACCCGCTCTCGTTTCGAAACATGCGACTCAGAAAAAGCTAGGATGAACCATGGAAATCTCCTATGTCTGGGTCCAGACTTTTTCGCGTCGTGCAGACTCGGGGCCTGCCCTGACGCCAGTCGCATCGTCAAAAGGTGGCACTTGATCTGCGATCTTAGTCCGCCGTGCTGGAGAGGTGCGAAAGAGCACTGAAGGAAGGAGCCGGGAAGCAGCCCGCTCCTCAGCTCAGTTCGATGTCGAACTCAAGACCGCCAGAATCGTGCAGCAGCGGTGTCTGTCAGGTCCGCAGCTGGCCAGCCTATCTGTACAAACTGTCGTTTGCTTGGCCTTTCTGGGCAAATGCTGCCAGTTTGAGCAGGGTCAGCCGGAGCAGCTACTCTGCCATGCTTCTGAAACTTTGCGTGGGAGAGCCCATTTTGGAGTGCATGGTATTGGAAACTGGAAGTAGTGCACGGACGGCAAGGCTGAAAAAGGCGTTTGTGGAGGCAAAGTCGACAAGGCTCACGCTGCTTGTGGCCGCGGTCCGGGGGGCTGACGAAGCACAGACAAACCTTGTTTGACAGGACGGACCCTGCAGCTGCACTCGGCACGGCTTCATCCACAGGTGCCCCCTCCCAGCATCTTCGTCTTGGACAGATGTGAGACTCCGTTCGGCGGCATGCAGCACGGGTTTGTGCTGGCGTCTGGGGTGCTGCTTTACCCCTTTTTAGGGCACTTGCCGGCTGGTGTTGGCTCTCAGGAAAACTAGTCACAAGCCTGCCCCGTCTTGCGACCGAGCAACATGGTGGCGAAGGGATTGCTACTTGGCATCTCTGTGATGGTAAGCCGACTTTGATTCGAGCCGTATCAAATCATCTGGACCTGGCCAGGAAAAAGAAAGGCGCTGGGACGGCCAAGAAGGTAGCAGCAGCCTGAGGAGAGACGGAGAGACTTCACGTGAGCATGGAAGCGGCTTTGCCCTGATGTTTGCAACTACGGCCTCCGTTTGATCCGAGACGCTGAAGTTCACCATTGACTGCCAGCAGCCAGCGGAAGACACTATCATCGAGCCGAAGGACACACAAGCTCATAAACAGCCGCAGAGCTGGCGTGCCTGCTCCTGTGATGTTGCATTGATACTATGCATTGACATTAGTTCCGTGGAGAGGCATGGCCTTTCCTTGTAGCCGGCAGGACTTCGAGAAGTTCCTGACCAACAGGATCAAGGCAAGAGGACCGAAAAAAGTGCTTGCAGTCTTCCACTGACACAAAGCAATCGTGCAGGTGGAAGGAAAAACTGGAAATCTGGGTGAGAAGGCGGCATCTTGTGGTGAGTGGCCGAGCATCTGTGCCCTATCGCTTGCCAGGTCAGCGTGCATCGGGAGAAGTCCAAGGTCCACGTCACGGCAGAGGCTTTATTGAGCACAAAGCATAGTAGCTCGCACACTCACGCTGCATGGAAAGGCACTCCTTCCCATAGAACATGAAGCAAAATGCATAGCATTGCCCGTCTTTACTGTTCCGAGCTCCGCTTTGCGGTCCTGGGTTCTTCTTTGATTGCACAAGCAAGTGTTCTGTATTGTGTCATGCAGGCGCCCTTCTCCAAGCGATACTTGTGGCTTGGTTGCCATGAAGCGTGAGCGTGCCTTCCTCTGCCTTAACGATCGCATGTGACCGTTTGATCAGCAGGAAGTATCTTGGAAAGAAGTACCTGAAGGCTCGAAAAGGGTTACCATGGATTCATTCTGTTGCTTCTTCAACGCCAGGCTGTGCAAATTTAGCTTGTTCCTCTGCCAGGCCCAGCAGTTGCGGGATTTCCTCCGAATCGTGGCTCCGTCCAAGACATCCTATGAAATGCGTCCAGCACTTGGTTCGGTCTTGACTGCGGGGAGAGGTCCTGGGACGCCTTCGTCAGTGTTTTGCGGAATGATGCCTGGGGGCAATCTGGCATCGGTTTCGGCGTCGTGCCAAGCTTTTGAAGGCCTTTGCTAAACAGCGAGGTTACTTCAACATCAACGATGAGAAGGGTGAGGAAGACTAGCTACTGCTGCCAGACTCTGCTAGACGTACATGGATCGGCAGCTTGTGACTCAAAAGGCTTCGCCTGCTTTGCACAGTTTGCCGGAAATGCCACTCGTTTGTCGCTTGCTTCGCAAGAGCTGTGTCCGCGGCAAGGTGCTTGAGGCCCATTCACCAGGAGGCCGGGTTTCGGCAGAGAGAGAGAGAGAGAGAAAAAAAAGGAACGATATAAAAAAGACATGAAATACCGGCGTCTCTATGTATGTAGGTAGGTAAGCATCAGTAGGTATGTAATTATGAGTTTTCGCATGTAGGCACGCATGTAAGTAAGTACGTGTGCTTGTACGTATGTTTTTATGCATATGAATGTATGTATGATTATGTATGTGTGTATGTGTGTATGTGTGTAGGTATGTATGCATGCTCATATGTATGCGTGTTGGTAAGTATTTGTATGTATGTGCGCCTCCGCATGCACGGGTAGGTGGATGTGAGTATGTATGTATGTAAGTATGTATGTAGGTATGTATGTAGGTATGTATGTCTGTATGTATGTATGAATGAATGAATGTGCGTATGTTCGTATGTATGTGTGTATGTACGTATGTTTGATTCTGTATGACCGTGTATGATTTTTGATAACTTATGTATTTGTGTAGGGAGGTAAAGGTAGGCTGTGACGCATGTGAGCTCATGTAATTACAGTTTGTAACATATGTATGTGGTGTATGTGACGTAGGTACGCCGACATGTGTGTATGTCGGTAGGCAGGTAGGTCGGTAGGTTTTTTAGGTCGGCATGTACGTATGCATGTGTGTATGTATGTATGTATGTATTCTGGTTCCCCCTACACCTCGCCTG